TTTTTCAATTAGGGAATCACATCATAATCAGAGGATGCTTTTACCATTTGTGTCAAAGTACCCATAGAAAAAATCAAAAGCTAGGTCTGGAAAGCCAATACTGAACCGATGAAGCCCTAAGCTTCTTTTGTGCCATGATGGACAGCTTAGAATTTGTTCCTTTATGTGATGGCAATGCAATGGCATTCCTTAGATCGGTTACTCCGAGCAATGGTAAGGATATTCTTGAATATTTCGATAAAAATTACATCAATGGAGTACCAAGGGAGGTCACAAAAAGCAATTCTCAATTCCAGACACGTCAAATTGGGCCTCGATTTCCTCCAACCTGGAACGTGAATGAGAGCACTCCATCCGATGAAGAACGCACGCTAATCAATGCGAAGGTTGGAATCATCGTTTTTCTAATCTGGTTGGGAATAAACACCTAGTTAATTTAGCCAATAATTTTGTGTTTAAGATTATTTCCTATCTAATTAATTAGTAATTTGCCTTGGTCTGGAGGGGGATAATAAAATTTTTTAAGAAATATAATTGTTAATTAAAAATACTAAGCATAAATTTATTAGGACTAATAACTTTTCTAATAAACAATTTAAAACTAATGTGAATTAAAAAAATTATATAAAACCGGCATTGAAAAACTATAAAATAAATGTGAATTATAAAATATAAAGTGAATATAACCCACGATATGAATCACTTAAATGACCTAAAATTGAAATTTGAATTTTTTGAGCTTTTAAAATATACAAATTATAAAAAATTTAAATGTTGGAAATATAAATTAATACACAAAAAGTTTCTTAGGAATAATTGTATTTTGTATGTTTTGAGCTAATTTTTCAATTATCTATCCTTCCTTGACGTTAAATGCCTATGAATATTCAAAAGATTCAAATCATTCAATCTACTTTCAGATTTTGTATTTCATAGGTATGTTTTTCACAGACTTGCAGGCCCAGCCCCCGAGCCGGACCGTATTTTAATTTTTTTAAATATACACGGGCGAGGCCCGTAATTTTTTTATAAAAAAACACCCGGGCCGAGCTGTATATTTTAAAACCAAATATTTGAAATCGCCATTATTAGCTATAAAAATCAAAAATAAATATAATTTTTTTTTAAAAATTCGGGCCGGGCCTGAAAATTTTATTTTCAAAAAATCCGGGCCGAAAAAAATTTAAAAAAAAAATCTGGGCCATGTCCTGCAAATAGTACCTCTGCAAAGCTCTGTTATTCTTCTTAAAAAAGAGAATGTTCACTCATTAGTTTACTAAAGAGCTGCTAATATATATAACCATTTTAATACATTGGGAGTATAATCTAAAATGTGTTTGAAATAATGCAAAGCATCCATAGCATTTTTTGGGACTGTATCAACCATAGTTAATCTTTAAATCATAGTTATTCAGCTAATAAGGCATCATAAGATATTTTAACATCTTCATGATAAAAATCTAACAAATATTTATATTTTTTTTCTATCACCATATGAAAAAGGTTGGGAGATGAAACATTTGTTTTATAATACTCTTTTACTGATCCTATATTAATGTTTTGACGATGAGCTTGCTTGCTGCAAGTCGAGGGAACAAATATTAAACTCGTATACCTCTGCTTTTGACTCAACAATAACATATAAAATATGAAATTCTTCATCAAATTTCCTTGAGTTCTAATAAAATGCTCTCCGCTATTCTCATCTTCTTAATCAAGTCAATGTTATGTTTTTGAAAAGTATTACATAAAGTTGTATAATTAAATAATACATTCTAATGAGAAAAAAAATTTGGAATAAGTATTGAATCCAATAATTTTGCTTCTGAGGAAATATTTCTTTCAAGCCATTGTGATATTTCAGTAATAGCATTAATAATCGGCTCTTCTAACTCCATAAAAGCTGTTACTGCTTGATGGCCGAGACTCGATCTCGTTGGAGAAGCTTGCAATTTCTTTCTCCCTGTTGGACAAGGAGTTTCAGAGATAATTATTATTTAACTAGAAATTTAGATAAATATTACGCCACTAAAATTTTTAAATAGCAGGTAAATTACGCTAAGGAAAACTTGAAATCGAAATTAATTGATAAAATAACTTAGTAGATGAATGTGATAAATAAATGTAATTAAATATATATATATATGAGATAGTAATAAATATTAACAAATATAAATTAATATTAACAATAATATTTTTGAAAAATATAATCCGGCATCTGCATTTTTTGGCTTTGGGGGGGGGGATTGTCCCCCTGCCCCCCCCCCGCTGCGTACGCCAATGTTTCTATTAAATTGAGTACATAAAGTAAAAACAATAAACTTATTAATACAAAGAGGCAATTTAATTTTGTAAATAAATTTTAATTTGAAAGGAAATCACTAACTTAAATTGCCCCAAGGAATATTAAAATTTCAATTTTGGTTAATAATTATTTTTAAAATTAGCTATGAACCGGTTTTAACGTGTTCTAAATATTTATAACAGTTCGGTTTGCTCTTTTTATATTTCTTTATAACGATTGGGTTAAGGTTCCGAAAATTATACGTTAGTCCGATTCGGTTCCAAACCCGGCTAACATATGTCAGTATAGGCTATTTTTGGGGGAAAGTAAAATGTATAAAATTAATTAATGGAAATTACAATATATTTTATTCTATAACTTTTAATTTATTAGACTTGTGTAATAAAACATTATAAATTTTAATATGAATATTAATGATATAGTGCAACAATTATTGGGAGTAAAAATGTTATATCACTTTATAAGAGTTTAAAAATAAGGAATAATCTAGGCATTTTGATTTCTTTCGATATCACATAAAAAAAAATATTATATTAGAAAATAAATTTAATATGAATTAAATATAATCATTTGAAAAAATCAAGTGTATTAACATTTTTATTAATATTATTTTTGCAATTTTATTAAGGTAATCAAGAAGCTTGTTTAAACAAATTTCTTATAATAAATATGTTATATAATTTGTGGTATAAATTCATAAAATTTATCATAATATATTAAAATATAATATATTATTTAAATTATACAAACATAATAAGATATGGAACATTTAATAAAACGACACGACGACTTATTAGTTATTTTAATACATATCGTTTTATTATTTTCAATATTATCACATCATTATAAATTTATTAATTCGAATGTTCCGTTCTTTTTTTTATTTAATATATAATAAATAACATTTAATACTGTTGATAAGTGGGGAAAAGTCTTGTCAATAAACGGTCTTGAGAGAATTAATATTTTAGAATAACGTCTTTTATTCAATATTTATAAATAGAATTAACTGATAAATTTTATTATATAAGATTTCTTTTTATATATAAGGTAAATCAATCATGGAAAAAAGTCTATCATATAAAATCACGTTATCCAATTTACAAAATATAATATATCAAACAATCGCCTTAAACCTTCATTATCTAAAATGAAAAAGTAGATTAATACAATACGAATATATCGTTAAAAAGAATATAAAGTTACTAACATATAACAAATACAATTTATTACATTTCCTTCAAACATTTTAAAGTTAGATTTCCAATCCTTTAATATTCTCACCGAAAAATCACCTATATGTCCCATCTTATCATCAAAAATTTATTGATGTTTATTAATCAAATCTCGAATTCTAGAATCTAGTGTTAAGCAACATTTTTTTTTTCAATAGTGTTGACCAAATTTATCAATTTCTATCAATGACGCTTCTGCACCAGTGTCAAAATCAAATTCAACATTTAACCCATTTATCTCTGCTGTTAATTTTGCTCGATTCTCTCGATTTTGTTGAATCTTCCATATATTATGAATAGAATCAATGACATTTTTATATAATTTAAATTTTGATTTACAACAAACTGCAAAATGACCAATATTTTTACATTTATTACTTGCCGCATTTGTAGCTGGACATTCACTTCTCGGTTATGAATAATCCCACATTAACATTTAAGTTTATTATAATCTTTATCATATTTATTGTATTTATAATTCTCTTTATCAAATGTATTATTGTATTTGACTTTATTATAGCTTTATTAAAAGTAGTCGTTTTAATTGGATGTTTATAATTATTATTATATTATCATTAATCTTATTAACAACAGGCATATTTTTATTTGCTATTTCTTTATCTGCTCGCTTAGAAGCTAATGCCAGATTAAGAATAAATTGAAAAGTCAATACATTATTATCTCTATCAAGACCGTCGGGATATAGAGCTCTAAGATCTCCTTCCAATCCCAGCATTTCCATGCCAACCTAAAACTGATCACGCAAACGCTCGTCAATATCATTAAGATAATGACAACGCTTGCGAATTGTTTCTAATTTTATCTGCTCAGTTATGGTTTCAGTTGTTATTCGTAGTCTAAGAAATCAAATCTAGAAGCAAAAGTTTTTGATTTCGGTTTAAATAAATTAAAACATATTAAGTTAATTTCCTTAAAAGATTAAGTTTCAATCTAATCAGGATAACAAGAACGGTCCACCAACTCAATATTTTTATTGCCAAAAAATGTTAAAAATATATCTTTATATTGACATTCAGATGAGCTTACGTTTTGTAACCAAAAACTGGCTTCCCTTCCCATTGAGAAATATATCAAAAAATAGAAGATTCGCCATCGAATTTATTAAATTTAATCGTAGATAAATCCGCCAATTTTCTTTTATCTGCCAAATTTTCTGAGTCTCCATTTAAGGAATTATTTTCTTCGTTTATAGAATTATTTTCTTCATTTAAAAGATTATTTTCTCCATCTAAGTAATTATTTTCACCATCATCACATCAATTTATTAATTCGAATGTTCCATTCTTTTTATATTATATATAAGAAATAACATTTAATACAATTTATTACAGAACACTTTAAGAGTTAATTATTCTTTTGCTATTTAACTTTTGATAAAATATTAGATAACTTCACAATTTGGCATCTTATCACGTGTTTAACATATGACAGATTAATTGTCAATCGTTAGATTTTAGTACTATTGATATTTTGATCCATCCTTGCGAAAATTCTCGACTAAAATTTAAAAAAATGATGTCATCTGGAGTAAAATTTATCAATGTTTATTTTTATTTACTAATATATTTTCTTAGACAGTTAATGAGCTTAAAGAAAAGGGTAACAAAGCTTTGGCCGAAGAAAGAAATATAGAGGCATATAATTTTTATTCTGAAGCTATCAAACTTGATCCAAATAATCATGTTCTTTATAGCAATAGATCTGCTGCTTTGGCCAAAATCGGGAGGTATAATGAATCACTTCAGGATGCTGAAAAAACTATTGAGATTAAACCTGATTGGCCAAAAGTATCAGAATTTATAGTAAATATAAGTCAAATTATTTATAGGGATATTCAAGAAAAGGTGCTGCACTTATGTTTTTAAAAAAATATGAGGAAGCTGAAAAAATTTACACTCAAGGATTAGAGAGAAACCCTGACAATGTTCAATTATTACAAGGTTTAGAAGAAACAAGAAAAGCAAAGATAGGTAAATTATATATTTTAAATTATTACATATATGAATGTAGAATCAACCCATTTTGATAACAGTCCATTTCCTAATCCATTTTCTGGACCAAATGTTTATGAAAAACTTAGAAATGACCCAAGAACTAAATCATATATGTGTCAACCAGATTTTTTGGCCATGCTTTCAGAATTGCAAAATAATCCTAAAGTTCTTTCATCGTAATATATTTTTTTATATGTTAAAATAATTATATTTTCATTAAAAGAAAGTTGCAAGACCCGCGATTAATGACTACTCTCAGTGTTTTGTTAGGTCTTGATATGACTTCGATGGAAGCAGATGATGATGATACTGAGTTTAACAATCATATTAATTCAAAAAATCACACTAGCAAGAATAATTCCAGTGCTAAATATCAGTCAAAAAAACCTGAAAAAATGTCTGTTGATTTAAGTGATGATCAAATAAAAGTTTTATAAAAGCCTGATAATCAACCTTATAATATTATTAGGCCTTAAAAGAAAAGGACTTAGGAAATGAAGCATATAAAAATAAAAATTTTGAAATGGCCATCAATCATTATGATAAAGCAATTGAATTAGATCCAAAAAACATAATATTTTTGACAAATAAAGCAGGTATATATTACTATTTTTTTTGTAATAGAAGATTATATATTTATATTATTCGTAAATCTAAAAAGATTATGAAAATATAATTGATTTGATAATGATGAGTTAGCATTTATTGATCTAATCTAGTAAATCATCAGCTAGGTGTTGACTAAAAATTTATTTTGATTGATATTGTTATATCTTTCTAAAATAAAATTACAATAACTATTAGCTTGTAATTAAGCCATGGCAATATCAGATATATCTAAAACAATTTAAACTTACATAATAAAATATAAGCTACATTAGAGTTAAATGTACGCTAGTAGGAAAGGAAAGATATTTGAGAGAAACATCTGGAATACACTCACATTCTAAACTTTTAAAATAAAATAAATATTGTTCAACATATTTTTGTTTTGCCTATTTATATATAAAAAAAATTTGTTAAATTTTGGGATTTGTGTAATAAGCTGAGTTAAAAATCAATTTATTAAATCTTTTATTTTAATAATGGTTTTGGTACATTAGAAAAATAAAATTACTCAATGATAGGGAATGACTAAAATACGCGTCCCCGAAAACTACGCGTCCCCGGTCAAAACGACTTATTTTTATTAATTATTAATAGGAAATCTTATTTAGCTTTATAAGATGAGTTAGAAAATGTTTTTTTTAATTTAAAAAAAATACGGTAACTATATAAAATTTACAAAAATTTATTTTTTTAAAAAATAAACTACGCGTCCCCGGTCAAAATACAGTTTTTTTAAAAAAATCAAAACGGATTCATATTTAGCTCATTAAAAGAATACAGAATATGTAAATATTATATTTTAAACTATTTTATAACTTAGTGATTTTTTTCAAAAAACACTTTTTTTTTTCAAAAACACTACGCGTCCCCGGTCAAAAAACCGTTTTTTTAAAAAAATAAAAGCAGATTCATGTTTAGCTTTTTAAGGAGATTCAGAAAATGGTATTAATAAAAAAAAATTTAAAAAAAAAATTTTTTTTTGGGTAAACTACGCGTCCCCGGTCAAAATACAGTTTTTTTAAAAAATCAAAACATATTCATATTTAGCTCATTAAAAGAATACAGAATATGTAAATATTATATTTTAAACTATTTTATAATTATAACTTAGTGATTTTTTCAAAAAACACTTTTTTTTTCAAAAACACTATGCGTCCCCGGTCAAAAAACCGTTTTTTTTTAAAAATAAAAGCAGATTCATGTTTAGCTTTTTAAGGAGATTCAGAAAATGGTATTAATAAAAAAAAATTAAAAAAAAAAATTTTTTTTAAAAATTTTTTTTTTGGCTAAACTACGCGTCCCCGGTCAAAATACAGTTTTTTTTAAAAAATCAAAACAGATTCATATTTAGCTCATTAAAAGAATACAGAATATGCAAATATTATATTTTAAACTATATTTTATAACTTAGTGATTTTTTCAAAAAACACTTTTTTTTTCAAAAACACTACGCGTCCCCGGTCAAAAAACCGTTTTTTTTAAAAAATAAAAGCAGATTCATGTTTAGCTTTTTAAGGAGATTCAGAAAATGGTATTAATAAAAAAAAATTTAAAAAAAAAATTTTTTTTTTGGCTAAACTACGCGTCCCTACGCGTCCCCGGTCAAAATACAGTTTTTTTTTTTTTAAAAATCAAAACAGATTCATATTTAGCTCATTAAAAGAATACAGAATATGTAAATATTATATTTTAAACTATTTTATAACTTAGTGATTTTTTCAAAAAACACTTTTTTTTTCAAAAACACTACGCGTCCCCGGTCAAAAAACCGTTTTTTTTTAAAATAAAAGCAGATTCATGTTTAGCTTTTCAAGGAGATTCAGAATAATTTTGGTAGTTGAGAATTCAAATAAAATATTTAAAAAAGCCAATGTCTAGCCCATATTTAAAATTAAAAAATTTTCAAGGATATCTATTTTAAATTTTACCCAAGTTGATTTCTATCATAAATGTAAATTATGATATTTCTAATACCCTTACATTGCAACATTTTTACCTCTTTTTCTCCTAAATATTAATATTTTTATGAAATATATTAATAAAGCATATTTAGTATCGTATACACCTAACTAATTAGTAATTACCCATCAACCCCGTCATTCTGATTAAATTAAATTAATTTTATAAAAAAAAAAAATAAATATATATATATACAAATATATCAAATTATAAAATTGACGGGGGGGATCAATGGTTAGAACGTATGCCTTCCGAACGATAAGTTGCGAGTTCGAATCCCGAATTGCCATAAAAAATTTAAAAAAAAAATTTTTAACATTAGCGAGATAATAATAGCTCTCGATTTATTTAACATTAAGATGATAGGAAAGTGGTTAATGATGCTTGGTACCTTAAGGTACCATCTATCAAATTTGAATTTTGTTCATTTTTCATTTGGATAGGCACTACCAAACATATTTATAATATATATTTGAAAAATCGTAATTTTTGGAAAGGCTCTATGGCCTAGTAGGCAAGAGCTTGGTTTACTTATCCCATGCTCCCGGGTTCGAATCCCGGGAATGATCATGTTTTTTTCTTATTCTAACTTGGTGGTTCCATCCTTGGGAGGATAATATATAGGAGGCCGGACTCGACCACGTGATTCCGTATTAATATATTAAATAATAAGGATCTTATTACATTTTTACATTTCAATAAATTTTGGTCGGTATTTAGCAAATTAGGTTGGTATTTAGAATATTTCCATACATTCACTTGGTAGTAAGCATCATTAACCTAGGAAAGTTGATAGAAAAAAAAAATTTTAACATTAGGAGATAGGAAAGTGAAATTAACGTTAAGAAGATATCAAAGTTGATAGAAAAAAAATTAACATTACCAAGATACGAAAACGTTCATGATTACATTTATAGATAGATAGATATATATCATATTAAATCAATGTGTTAAAAAGCTAAAAAATCAAACAAAGTTGAGTGTTCTAAATCTGATTGATGAATTAGAAAATATTATAATTATAATTTATTTTTTATTTATGTTAGTAATAAGTTTTTTAAAATAACTTTCTAATCTTACATTAATAGTTAAAATTTATCATTTTATATGTTTTGTATATGGGAGACTGGGGTTAGGACCCCGGGCTTGGCAAACCACTTAATCTCATTTCATATCCTAATATAGTTTTTATTAGTTTACATCTATGGTTTACATCTATAGACAAAAAATCTTTTGAAATATTTTATTTAAGAAATAAAATTTTGATGAAATTCAAAAAATTTTTACATGACAAAACAACTTTGATATCTTCTTAACGTTAATTTCACTTTCCTATCTCCTAATGTTAAAATTTTTTTTTCTATCAACTTTCCTATCATCTTAATGTTAAATAAATCGAGAGCTATTATTATCTCGCTAATGTTTAAATTTTTTATGGCAATACGGGATTCGAACTCGCAACTTATCGTTCGGAAGGCATACGTTCTAACCAATGAGCCCCCCCGTCAATTTTATAATTTGATATATTTGTATATATATATATTTATTTTTTTTATAAAATTAATTTAATTTAATCAGAATGACGGGGTTGATGGGTAATTACTAATTAGTTAGGTGTATACGATACTAAATATGCTTTATTAATATATTTCATAAAAATATTAATATTTAGGAGAAAAAGAGGTAAAAATGTTGCAATGTAAGGGTATTAGAAATATCATAATATCATAATTTACATTTATGATAGAAATCAACTTGGGTAAAATTTAAAATAGATATCCTTGAAAATTTTTTAATTTTAAATATGGGCTAGACATTGGCTTTTTTAAATATTTTATTTGAATTCTCAACTACCAAAATTATTCTGAATCTCCTTGAAAAGCTAAACATGAATCTGCTTTTATTTTAAAAAAAAACGGTTTTTTGACCGGGGACGCGTAGTGTTTTTGAAAAAAAAAGTGTTTTTTGAAAAAATCACTAAGTTATAAAATAGTTTAAAATATAATATTTACATATTCTGTATTCTTTTAATGAGCTAAATATGAATCTGTTTTGATTTTTTTAAAAAAACTGTATTATGACCGGGGACGCGTAGGGATCGTAGTTTAGCCAAAAAAAATTTTTTCGAAAAAAATTTTTTTTTTAATTTTTTTTATTAATACCATTTTCTGAATCTCCTTAAAAAGCTAAACATGAATCTGCTTTTATTTTTAAAAAAAAACGGTTTTTTGACCGGGGACGCGTCGTAGTGTTTTTGAAAAAAAAAGTGTTTTTTGAAAAAATCACTAAGTTATATAATAGTTTAAAATATAATATTTACATATTCTGTATTCTTTTAATGAGCTAAATATGAATCTGTTTTGATTTTTTTTAAAAAAACTGTATTATGACCGGGGACGCGTAGGGATGCGTAGTTTAGCCAAAAAAAAATTTTTCTTTTTTAATTTTTTTTATTAATACCATTTTCTGAATCTCCTTAAAAAGCTAAACATGAATCTGCTTTTATTTTTTAAAAAAAACGGTTTTTTGACCGGGGACGCGTAGTGTTTTTGAAAAAAAAAGTGTTTTTTGAAAAAATCACTAAGTTATAAAATAGTTTAAAATATAATATTTACATATTCTGTATTCTTTTAATGAACTAAATATGAATCTGTTTTGATTTTTTTAAAAAAACTGTATTATGACCGGGGACGCGTAGGGATGCGTAGTTTAGCCAAAAAAAATTTTTTCGAAAAAATTTTTTTTTTTTAATTTTATTATATTATAACCATTTTCTGAATCTCCTTAAAAAGCTAAACATGAATCTGCTTTTATTTTTTTAAAAAAACGGTTTTTTGACCGGGGACGCGTAGTGTTTTTGAAAAAAAAAGTGTTTTTTGAAAAAATCACTAAGTTATAAAAATAGTTTAAAATATAATATTTACATATTCTGTATTCTTTTAATGAGCTAAATATGAATCCGTTTTGATTTTTTTAAAAAAACTGTATTTTGACCGGGGACGCGTAGGGACGCGTAGTTTATTTTTTAAAAAAATAAATTTTTGTAAATTTTATATAGTTACCTTATTTTTTTTAAATTAAAAAAAACATTTTCTAACTCATCTTATAAAGCTTAATAAGATTTCCTATTAATATTAATAAAAATAAGTCGTTTTGACCGGGGACGCGTAGGGACGCGTAGTTTTCGTAGACGCGTATTTTAGTCATTCCCCAATGATACTATTTTACAGAGTAAACAAAATATAATGGCACTTCTATTTGAGTAATATTGGCAGCTTGGATAGAAACTGTACATCATATTTGTTAAAAAAAATTATTCTAGAAAATTAATTATTTCTATAATTTGAAAAATATAAAAATCAGTTAGAATTTATTAAGTATTTTATTATATAATTTTTTAAATAAATCATTGAACAATTTGTGATAGTATTCAACAATTTTTAATACTATTCATATATTTCTAAATAAAAATATTGCTAATAGTTGATAATGCCCTCCTATTCATGCTTCTCTGGAAAAGCCCTAGTGTAATGATCAAATGATATCTAATAATCATAGATTTATCCTAATGTTTCTAATCATCTAAAACATCCTTACATTTTTGATAAACCCTAGAAACAAGTAAAGTTATTTAAATTAAAACCAGTAAAATATAATACAAATTTGATGGAATGATAATTCATTAGTTACTGTTACACCAGCATGCATAACCTTCATCCCTCTTTGTGTGGTTTTTTGACTACTAAGTTTCCTCAATTTTTTTATTTCAAAATTAGTTTATACAATTCCCATAGGCCTCATTTATAGTAAGTGTTAAATACCATGATGTTGTTCAGGTAATATATAATTCATTGTTAAATGATAGCATAGTTGTATAATTTAACAATATATATTTTGTTAATTACACATCACTTCAGTGACATAGTAATTTTTACTTACTTTAAATGGGACAGAGTAGCATCCAAGGTTGCCATACAATAAATATATAGATAAAAAGGTAGTAGAGACCTATTTTTTTAGCTATTTTATTGATGTCGCTATATATATTCTAAAAAATTGTTGAATAAAGCTAATTTAATGATAAGAAATATTTCTTCAAGAGATAATAAATTTATGAAAATTGTCTAGTAAGAGAAAAACAGTGTACAATCACAGAACTTTCTAATTAGCTTTTCTTACTAATTAAAAAAACTTTGAAAATACAGTTGACATTATCTAAAAATGGTTAGTCATTGGAAAGGTTATGATATAGAGTTTGTAATGGCCAGACAAGATATATATCTGAACTATCAACCCATATTAATATAAATTTTTAAATTTTATATCATATTTTAAATTTTTCTTTATATATAACATTTTTAGTCACATGACATGACTAAAAAGGCTATAAGACTATGCTCTTAATGGTTGGTGTTACAGATATGCTACGATTCAGATTTATTGTTTAGGATACATTTTTTTGGAGAATTTTTTGTTTAGACTACAAAATATTTGAAAAAATTAGGGATTTTTATGAGCTTGAAAATGTCTGGCAATGAAATGAATATTATATATTTCATGTTTTTACTAAAAATATATTCTAAAGATTGAATAGTTAAAACTTTATTTAGTTTATCATATTAGAATAGAATCATGGAAGATAATTCCCTGGAAAATAATTCCCCTAATTATTTAAAAAATTTCTTCTTGTTACCATTTAAATATTAGTAATGAGCTTTGCAGAAATATAGTTTAGCAGAGATATGGACAGTTTTTTTGTAGTAAATTAAAATTTTCTGGGATGTTGCTATGCCCAAGTATATTACTTGAGAGTTAAAAGTATAATTTTGTCTGGTTTTCTGTTGCAAAAAATAACTGTAATATATGTTTTTAGTAATATATTTTTTGTTATTCTGAATAGCTGTTTATTTTGAACAAAACAATTATGATGAATGTATTAAAACATGTCAAGAAGCTGTTGAAATTGGGAAAGAGAATTTTTCCGACTTCAAATTACTAGCTAAGTAATGAATTTTTATTTCATTATAATTCCTCACTCATTTTTTTAAAAGAGCTTACTCTAGAATTGGAAATTCGTATTACAAGTTAAAGGATTGGTCAAATGCTATTGTAAACTATAAAAAATCACTGACAGAGCATCGTTGTCCTGATATCCTCATGAAGCTTAATGAAGTAATATAAAACATTGTGTTTGCTAATAATAATATTTATCACTTATGTTTTAGACCGAAAAATTAATGAAGGAAGAAGAACGGCTGGCTTATATTAACCCCGAACTAGCGCTGGATCAGAAGAATAAGGGAAACGAAATGTTCCAAAAAGGTTAATACATTTATTAATTAAATGATTTAATAATGAATTAATGTTTTTGAGAGCTTGAAATGTTTTTAATAAAATTTCTTCAAAGATTTCATATCTCTAAAGATCTTTTGAGAATGCTCAAACAGAAACTTAAAATTATGCCTAAAAGTTTAACTCATTTGTTAAATAATCTTTTATAACGAATTCTTTTATGATTTTTTCCATAATATTTATACCGATACTATTATTTAGAACCCTGCATCAGACCTTTTTTTATAGGTCAGAATCTGAATAAAATCCAGCAATTTAGTCGGGCTTAAAATTAAAAAAAATTGTAATAAAATAGAAAATAATAAAATAAAATGTTAATTAAAATTTCTTTTTAGATATAACAAAGCAAAAAAAACTTGTAAAAAATAAATTTATGTGACTTTAATTTTGGTCCAGTTTAAATAAAAATTATAGATTTTTTTATAATATGAATCCATGTAAAATTTTTTAGCCAGATCCAATCTGTAAATTAAAATAAGATTAGGACATGCTAGGTCATGTTTTAAACAAATGAAATAACTTTCTTCATCTGGAACTAGATCTCTGCAATTGGGAGATTTTTATTAAAAATTATACAATTGATTGGGATGTGGCTCTTTATTTAGTTTTTTAAAATATATTTTTACAACTTATAAAATATGCAATATTATTTTAAAAAAAATTCATTTCATTTTGCTTTAAAAATTTTTTAAATTTTATGGTTATTGCTTTTTGTAGGTATATTATATTATTTAATGTTAATTTTATAGGTATTTTTTAAACATTAATAAGGGATTAATTGTTTTTATGATTGGTTTATTTTTTTACACCTACTTTATTTTTTAGAATTTTTTTTTAAAATTTTACTACTTTTTAGATATTTTTTTAAGTCATTTTTTTTGACGATGTCTAAAACCATTTTAAAAAGTTTCACAAATTTTAACATTTTTAATAAAATCATATGTTGATTTTTTGAAATTTAAATTTTTAATAATTATGGTTTAGACATGTTTTATAATTGGATTTTTTGATTTTACACATTTATATTTGGAAATTTTTTAAATTATAAATATGCGAATTGAAAAAGAAATAGTTTGAGGTACGGTGAAATAGGTGTATATCATTTTCGATATGGAAAGGTAAAATTACTTACTCTAATATTATAGATTTTAAATTCTGAGATCCTATTTTTGAGGGAGTTTCAGAAGTTGGAATTTTTTAAAATTTAAATTTGTGATAATTGAATAAAATTTAAAATAGAGTTGCTTGGAAATTTTTTAATTTTAAATATGGGGTAGACATTGGCCTGAAATTTTTTTGCAGACATAGCCAGGCCTAATTTAATAATGTCTTAAATTTAATTTTATATTCCATTTATTTCTATTGTAATTTAATAACAATATCTTAAATTTAATTTTATATTCCATTTATTTCTATTGTAATTTAATAACAATATCTTAAATTTAATTTTATATTTAGAATAAAATTTAAATTTGTGATAGAAATCATTTTGGGTAAAATTTAAAATAGATATGCTGGATAATATATGTCTAGACCTTTGTTCCTTCTACTAACAAAATATTCAGGCTTGCGTAGTATTTTTCTGGATGAAAAATTGAGTTAGCTATTTTTAAAAATCGGCTCAAAACGAGTCATTTAACTACACAAGTTGTAAAGTGATAGATTTGACATGAAATGAACCCAGACCTTATTTAATTTTTTAAAATATACCCGGGTCGGAACTAAAAAAAATTTATACCCAGGCCTGGCCTTAAATTTTTTTCAAAAAACTATCTGGGGTCGTATATTTTAAAAGCGAGTATTTTTAATCGCTACTATTAGCAATAAAAATTAATATTATAAATCTTTTAATAAATTGTTATTCAAAATAATTTAAATAGATTTTTAAAATTATTTTTCTGACAAGGAAACTTCCCCAAATTTTATTATGGTTTTTTAACTAAACTATTACGTTTTTTCATATTTTACTAAAATATTTTTTCCTTGAGAAATCATAATTGTATATTGTTTTTGTATGTATATTCATTTTCAATAATATAATAGTAGAACTCAAGTAATATTCATCTGAAGGAAATTTTTTAATTAGCATAATTATTTAAAGTTAAAAAATTTAATAACTGAGATGATGTGGATTTGTGTTGCTGGTTATTGAAGGCTTAAGAGATATAGATTAGGTAGAATCAGATTTGATAGGCCAGGCGTATAGAGAGACTAATATAAATTTTAATGAGACAACGGCTTAAGAACCAAAATTTCTTAATTTTTATTATAAAATTTTACAAATAAATACTCGTCTAAATTAATTATTATTCTATCTAATTTGCAATTTTGGGTATTATAAATTAATTACTTAACCTAGAAAATATATTTATAATTACTACAGATGAAATATATATAATAAGAAATTTTAAGATGATTTCTAATTAAAACTGAACCAATTAATTATTTCCAAGAAAACAATAAAATGCAAACAAAACATTTTATTACATCTTAAAATCAAAGTAAACTAGATATTGAATTTGCAACAACCGCCTTTAAGGGAAATTATTTCATTCTTTGAAACCTGCATTTATGCTGGGTTGACAAATATAAGGGGAATATGTTTTCATTTCGTTATTGTAGCTGGATTTAGCGTTGTTAAAAGGCTCGAGTTAGTCAGCCAATAAAACAGAGCCTGCAAATTTCGCCAATAGATATCCAAACCTTTCTGTAATCTGTGAGCAAAGTCTCTAAACTTGGGTATTTTCGGTAAAATCTTGAGTTAGCCGTTTTCAGAAATTGACTAAATCGAATGTTCAACAACACTTTGAATTATACAAAATACAGTGTAGCCGCGAATTGCCCCTAATGAGGGGTTACCCAACATTCATAGTTGGCGCGAATTCGCGACGAAGTATATAAAAATAACTGAATGCAGGTTTAGACACATTTATTGCAGGTTTTTGCCGACATAAATTTTGCACCTTTTTTTAAAAAAAATGCATTTCTAAATAATTTTAATTATAATAAATTTTTTTAATTATAATAAATTTTTTTAATTACTTTAAAATTTCAAAAAATCATTATGGATCAAATTTCATTTCCAATTTTATTAAAATTTATTAGATAAAAGATAAAATAAATATTATTGATATAGATTATTCTAGCGCTAAGATTTCATTATAAGCAGATACTATTTTAAAATTGAGTTGCGTCATCTATAGATTTAATAACATTCGAAATTCTTTGAGGCATGAAATTAATTAGGTTTAGACATAATTTATAGATATAGAATTCCATTTATTTTTAGTTTTATTTCTTAAAAGAATCTTTGGTTTTTGGATAATTATTGTTATTTAAACGCTTTTATAAATCCCGATATGGGTCGATTTTAAAAAACGGCCCGATTAAGATTTTAACCAAAATAACATTATGTAAGCCTAAAGATTTTGCTCATAGCTGGCAGAAATTCTTAGGCATCTATTTGCCAAATCCCGATGAATCTTAATCGGGCCGTGTTGAAAAATCGACCCAAATCGGGGTTTTTAACAATAATAGTCAGGACGTTCCTCTTCCAATTATAAAGTCAAAATGTTAGTAACTATTTTTTTTATCTATTTGGATGTTTGAAATGAGGCTCTATCCTGCTGGAATACAAAGTTTTTATTAGCGAAGAAGCTGGGTCATTCCATGTCAAATCAATCACTTTACAACCCGACCATCTCAGATTTTGTTAAAATTTGGAATTTAAGTTAATAAAGTATTGTAATTGACAAATCCAAAATGTTAGATTCTTAACTATCAGAACCGGAGATATAGGGCATCAAAGTAGCTCAGCTTGGTCATTTTTCGAAAAAAATGTTTTTTTTAAATTGGGATAACCTTTTATATTAGATGTACTATGTATATCTATTATGGCTCATTTTATAGCCTAAATAAACTTTTGAACGTATGTAAATAAAATTAATTTTTAGTTTATATATTTTTTTTAAATTGCGGTTAAAAATTTGTAATTAATTTTTTAAAATGTTAGACTAAGTATTTTTTAACAAATTTCATATATTTTGTAAAAAGTATTAAGAACTGTTCATAGAAAAAATTTCAGAGTGGGGCCAAAAAATTAATTAGGAAAAATCTCATTTTTAAAAAATCCGCTAGATGGCGTAAGTATTTTAAAATATAAATTTTATCAATATAATATTTATCGAAAATAGTAAGCATAATTAAAATAATTTTACCAAAATTTCTTTAAATTTAATTTATATATTGTCATTTTTACATTCATCATTAGTTAGAGTATAAGTTCTTCCTGCGGATATGGCCACATAACTTTGATTTAATACATTATTTACTTTATAATATATATCAAATGGATATAGGGTAACCTGGGAAGTGGCTCAATGATAACCTTGGACTTCATCTTGAAGTATAAAAGAGTAATTTTCAGAAAAATCACAGATAACCAAATAAGGATTATGTTCTAATTTGTTTTTAAGATTCTGATGGAATCTATTTTGCTGTTCAGTAATAAAAGCATGGCGAAACAAAATAAATATTTTTTCAAATAAGTAAGAAATTCGTCAGCTGTTTGTGTTAGGGTCTCTAGACTGTTCTATCTACAGATATCCATTGATTGAACGTTATCCTGTATATATCATGTGCAATTAATAAATTTTCTAATTTAGCCCTTAATGCTTGGTCCCCAGGACATTCATGACATTCGCCAAAATTACAGGCTGGCAGGGGAGGATTGCTGGAATTATGTCTTTGTAAGTTTTTATCTCAAAATCCCTATTTTTTGTTAAAGTTGCTAGATTGCTATCTATTATTAGCAACTTAACATTCTGAACGATTAGGCAGACACAAACCGAGTGAGTGCCACTTGAACCTGGTATTATGCAATTTTTAGGGTGCAATGAGGCGAATTTTAAAAATCCGATTTTAAGAGAAGAGTAGATAGCTTTAAAATTTATATAGATTTCTTTTAAATTATTTAGAATTAACCGTTTTTGAACATTAATCCTTTTATAATTTTCAATTATAGAAAGGCAATCTTTTTTCCGGGCAGTAATCTACTATTTTCATTGTTTAAATAGAAACTTTTTACAATGCTAACTGTGCTCTGATCTATGGTTTTACCTGCCTTGGGATTAGAAACTGAAAGAATCCCCTTTTGACCAATTTTGAATTACGGATCATATAAAACGAAATTGTTTTTTAATTTAGTGAGTGTTTCAAATTGGAGGTAATGTCGTTAATAATTGATATTTTTGTGTTTTAGACAATAATGGATAATTATTTTTCATATAAATTATCAAATCTAGCTACCATTTGTATTCACCTTTGGTTGAAGAATTTTGCCAAAAGCTTTTGTACCTTGGCCCATGAAAGTATTCAAATCGACACTTAATAAACTGTGTGGCTGTAGTACCAAAAAATCGGTACCTAGTCTGCTGAGCTTTTTCTTGAGATATCCTTTTTCTCTTAGTCTCTTTTTTTATTGGAGAATTCCCCATTTAATTAAAGTAGAATTTAAGGATTCTGAAAAAAGTGGGGAGTTGCGTATTGTCGTTGTTAATTGGATAATCATTTTCTATATCGGTGGAGGTTTAAGAAATTATTTGAAGTTGTAGGAATGTTGCTATCCTCTAAAATTGGAATACTATTCTTCTTTTTATATAAAAATTTGCGACATGGACAAATATAATCTCCTTTGTTAATTTTATGATACATTGTCATCCAGAGCATCACTTTTCTTAAACCTTTTATAGAATAGTGATTTGACAGATTCAATGGGTATGAGAAGAGAAGAGAAAAACATATTAATAAATTAATTTTAAAAATTAAAATTTTAGGAAAAAGTAACAGGTAAAAAAAATTGATAAATTATTGGGAAAAAATTATTCGAAAAATCGATAATTTATTAATGCTTACTTTAATAAATTTTATTACCTATAAATTAAATTCAAGGAAATTAAATTAAAATTATTTTAAATATTATGCTTACAATTAATTATTCGATAAATATTTTATTATGGAATAAAAAAAAATTATTAGATTGACTTTTATTAATAAAATTGATATTTTATAATACTTACACCATCTAGCGGATTTTTCAAAAATGAGATTTTTCCTAATTAATAATTTTGGCCCCACTCTGAAATTTTTTATATGAACAGTTCTTGGTACTCTACAAAATATCTGAAATTTGTAAAAAAAATTTAGTCTAACATTTTAAAAAATTAATTACAAATTTTTAACCGCAATTTAAAAAAAATGTATAAACTAAAAATTATTTTTATTTAACATACGTTAAAGAGTTTACTTAGGGCTATAAAATGAGCCATAATAGATATACATAGTACATCTAATATAAAAGTTATCCCAATTTTAAAAAATCATTTTTTTCGAAAAATGACCAACTGAGCCACTTTGAAGCCCTATCTCCGGTTCTAATAGAGTAAGAGTCTAATATTTTGGATTCGTCAATTACAATACTTTATTAACTTAAATACCAAATTTTAACAAAATCTGAGATGGTCGGGTTGTAAAGTGATTGATTATCACTTGAACCAATATGGCTTGACCTAATATAGATTGAAATTTCATGCCATTTAAGTTGCATTAAAGTATAATTTTTCCCCCTTATACAACGAAACAATATCATATTATCGGGAAATTTAGTTCTTAGAAGACAATGACTGAGGGTGTCTGTTATTTTAATGGCCGTAATCCCCTCCCTCAACTAACTGTAAATTTTAGCATAGTTGATTGTGTCAAAATAAGTTGAGCAAGGTTTAAAATTTTTTATTCCATGATATTCCTTTTAGATAATGTTGAACAATAGATTTAGAAATTTTTCAAATATTGCTTTACCGGATTAGAAGTGTAATTAATATTTAAAATGGTTCAAGAGTAGTTATATTTAAGAATATGACTGAAAGAAAAATGCAAACGAGCATTTTTAATTTAAAAAAAAAATTGGCTGGGCAATTTTTAATTAATAAATACTGTCCAAAACATTTATTTCTTGATAATAAAAATCTTTCTACGCATTTTGATTTATTTATTGCCAGAGTATTTATTTTTGGGTAATAAAAATACTGAATCCTAGCCAATAAAAACTCAAATATTTTTAAAAAATGTGAAATTTGAAAAATTTTTTCTACAAGTTATTTTAGTTTGAATACCCAGTATATATTACCTTATCATTATGTAAATTATATATGATATTTGTTAAATATTTTTTAACTTCACTTATACTTTTTCAAGGAAATTTAAAAATATATAAAAGCATTAGGGAAATAAAATGAGAACCCGGTTTTTAATTACCCCCATTAAAAACAGTAACAAAAAAAGAAACTACAATATTTTGACTTTTAACTGTCAGATCTGGCCTTGTCTCATATGACCTAGTCGAAAAATATAATCTACGCCGAATTTAATGAAGGAATATTAAAATATTTTATTAGCTAATCGTATGTTTCAAGATTTTAAAAATAGAAATACCCTAATACTAGTGCTTTTTTACAAGGTTTAAAATTTTTTATATTAAGATTTTTAAAAAAACAAAGGTTTATTTTACAAAGATAATTTTAATGAGATTATATTTTTCATTCGGTCTGACCCGACAAAAAGATACTTTGCTTTCCACTTTTTCTATATATCAAACATTAAGGTTTGATCCACCAAAATCCTAATGGTGAAACTTCGGTCGGACAGGTCCATGCAGGGCTCTATTAAAATAAAGTAACCACTTCTGAGCATGACCTTGTATTTTAAGAATTAATATTGTTTTTTTTTCATTAAAATGAATTTCACCATTTCTTTTATGAAGGCGATTATCCAGCTGCCCTTAAATACTACACCGAGGCTATTAAAAGAAGTCCAGAAAACGCCATTGTTTACAGCAACCGAGCTGCATGTTATACAAAATTAGCTGAATTTAGGTTAGGCCTTCAAGATTGTGACAAATGCCTACAACTTGATCCTAACTTTGGTATGTAACGTCCTATACATGATTTTTAATTCTGCTGTTTTCATTTTTGCATACTCTAATTTAATTTATTCTCTTTTTTAAAATTATTAACTCCTATTTTGTTACAGTTAAAGGATATATACGAAGAGGACATATTTTGTTGGCATTAAAAGAATCGACCAAGGGAATGATTGCCTTTCAAAAGGCCCTTGAATTAGATCCCTCCTCACAGGTTTAAGATTTTATTAACCATTAATTTATTTTTTTAAATTTTATAATATTTCTTCGCTCAATTATGGCTTTAAATCTGCAATATTACTGATATATGATTTTGAAACTATACATTTTCTCATTTATAAAGGAAGCCCTAGAAGGAACCAGGAAATGCTACAGTGCTCTTGGTCAAAATCAAAGTCAATCTGTAGAAGATATAAAGCAAAAGGCAATGCAAGATCCAGAGGTTCAATCCATTCTCACCGACCCTGCTATGAGAATGATTTTAGAACAGATGCAGAACGATCCTAGCGCTCTTAAAGAGTTTATTATTAAATTTTATTCTTAAAATATGCTATGAGAGGCTTTGTTCTGTTCGTAATATTTATATGAGACTAAAGGATTATAACTTATGAAAGCAAAGTTAAATTTTTATAATATATTCAAAATTATTTTATAGGCATCTGAAAAATCCAAATATAGCAGAAAAAATTCAAAAGCTTCTAGAAGTGGGCATCATTCAGATACGATGAAAATGATATGATTTGACTACTAATTAATTATTTTTATTATAAATGTACATACCAATTTTTATCTTACTCTAAAATTAGGTTAATTAATTATTTGTAATCTAAGTTTAATCAATTTTTATTAAATACATAAAATAAAAGCGTCATATTTAAAAAATTGATAAAATTTTTAACAATCAAATCAAAAAATTGCAAAACAATATTTAAACACAGTTTTGGATACGTGCTAGGATGGAAAAATAGGGCAAGTCCCACTAAGAAAGTTTTTCACAACCCTTTAAGAATATTCCAGTAGAGCCGTGGCGCCATTTTCTTACTGGATACCAGAAACCGGCATATAAAATTTTGCATGGCCCGTTATTATTTAATCTGGCTTGTAGTACATCTTGTGATTTCTCTCCTTTATGGTTTTTAATAGTAATTAACTACAGATTTTCCAAGATTTTTTAAGAGATTATTGTTGTATTCTCTAAAATATTTTTCAAAATCACAAAATAAAATAAATCTTGGCAAAGTCAGTTGAATTCTATAGGAATTTTATAAATTTCTCCTATTGATTTCGATAGTCAAATTTAAAATAAAGAATCTAAAAATGAGTTCTTCCTTTTGACACCAATGAGCTTGATATAAAAAATAATAAGTTTTCATTAAAATTTTTCAAAATAAACTACACTGAGCATGAACAAATGTCAAAAATATTATCGCAACCTGAACACGGAAAAGATTGAGATAAGGAAATAATTTTAAAACAACGCTTTTAGTACACTGTTGAATATCTCATACGACATTTTTTTGTTAGTGAAATTTACCCAGTTCAATTAATAATATTTTCAGAACCTAACCTGTTTAGCACCTTGTTAATTTGCTTGGTTATAAAATTTATCCCCCAATTTGGTGCTCAGGCCTCAGATGAATTGTTATTCCAAATTATTTACCAAAAATAAAGAAGCAGCAAAATGCAATGGTGTTTTCTAGAGATAGTAACGCCCTGCAAGCAACTCAGCTTAGGGTTATAAAAATTTTAACCGGGTCTAGCTAGGGCTAAAAAAATACCAAAAAAATTAGGATTAAATGAATTATTATGTTGGTTTTCTGAGCTATTATTTCCAGCCATACGACTTTTGCAACGATTTCTAAAAATCACTTTTTCTAAATAAAGAATAAATTAAAATTTTTCTGGGATTAGGATAAGGACAATTAGTTTTAAATTTATACTAAATTGCTTTTTATTTATATTTTTAAATTTAAATATTTTCGGACTCAAGGCTAACAGGAAGGTATTAGTGCCTAAAAATCAATAGGTATGAGTATGACTGAGATAGGGTTTTAAATAAATTAAAATGGGGTCAGGCCAAAAAATTTATTTCGAGCTCTAGGTCGGGTAGAGTGATTTTTTTATGACCCCATTCACAGTTAGTGCAAAAGCCGCCAAGTATACAAAAATGAAAGAAATTTTTATAATTATTACCAGGATTCAAAAAAAAAATAATATTAAATTAATAATGTGTTGTGAAACTCCACTAAACGAAAACTAAGAAAAAATAAATCATCTGCTAATCTTAAATCTTACTATACACTAATAAATTAAAGCTTTGTTCATTATTTTATTTTATATTAATCCCATAAATATTGGTTTAAAAGTGTCTTTAATCACAGCCTGTTTGACCTAGCCATTTTTTCTCTTCCAAACTCTTAAATTCACATATAATTATAGTTTATATATAGTTAACCCTCTTCAAAACTTTTTTGGGTTGTTATTTGTGAAAACTTGGTAACTATCGAGTGCATGGGCTTGAGCTGTTTCTTCAAATTAACTTAAAAATATAAATATTGTTATGTATAAAATTGTTTATTTATTAATTTCTGTAAAATGTTTCTTTTATTATTTTGGCATTATTTTGTGAATTTGCATACAAGATTTTATGATAAAATACAATAAAAAGTTTAATTTCTGGCTAAATTACAACTATATATGTTAACGATAATACAAAAATATATGTCGAAAATAGTACAAAAAATATTTTTTAATAAGAAAATTTAACAAAATGTTTTATGAAAAAATAAAGTTACTCCAAAAATTAATATTGAGTAATATACTTTGAGACGTGTTTTAACTATACATGGTCGAACAATATATGCATTTTTTCCTTAGAATTTTTAGAGGTCCGTGAAGTTGTAGGAACGATGTAAGGATCAATTACCAAAACCTATGCCATTATTTAGAGTCTTAATTGATCCTAATTGATCTTCAAACCAGACATCAGCGGAATCAAAGGTTATTGAGTTATAAGCAAAATAATGAAAGTGCGAAGATTTGTAGCTATAGGAATGATTTGAGGATCAATTACCGAAATTTTTACCATTGTATAGCCCGTTAATTGATCCTAATTGATCTTCTATCCGAAAAGCAGCGGGATGAACCGTTACTGAGTTATGAGCAAAATAAGAAAGTGTTGGCATTTTGCCAAAACCGAAAATATAAAAAATCACGATCTGAAACTTGGCAATTATTTAGGCTTTAATTTGTGCGTTAATAATTTCCAAACCGGATAACGATATCACTAACCGCAACCGAGTTATGACCTGTTTTTAAAGCGTGAAGTTGTAGGAATTTTTTTAAAAAGTGAGGATCAATTACCAAAAACTATACCAAATTGTGGTGCGTTAATTGATCCTCCAGAATCTTTAAACCGCATATCAACGGAATAAACCGTTCGTGAGTTATAAGCAAAATAGAAAGGTTTTGGCATCTTGCCAAAATTAAAAATTAGAGCAATCATTTTTTTAGTTATAACCAATATTTAGTACCTTAATTGATCCTCCGTATTCTTCAAACGGAATGTCAAAAAAATTAAAGGCTATTGAGTTATAAGCAAAATAATGAAAGTGCGAAGATTTGTAGCTGTAGGAATGATTTGAGGATCAATTACCGAAATTTATATTATTGTATAGCCCGTTAATTGATCTTCTATCCGGAAAGCAGCGGAATGAACCGTTACTGAGTTATGAGCAAAATAAGAAATGCTGGCACTTAGCCCAAACCGAAAATATAAAATATCACGATCTGAAATTTGGCAGTTATTTAGGCTTTAATTTGTGCGTTAATAATTTCCAAACCGGATATCGATATCACTAACCGCAACCGAGTTATGACCTGTTTTTAAAGCGTGAAGTTGTAGGAATTTTTTTAAAAGTGAGGATCAATTACCAAAAACTATACCAAATTGTGGTGCGTTAATTGATCCTCCAGAATCTTTAAACCGCATATCAACGGAAACCGTTCGTGAGTTATAAGCAAAACAAAAAAGTATTCACTTTGTCAAAACCGAAAATAAAAAAGATCATGTTTTGAATTGGCAATTATGTAGTATTCAATACGTACATTAACAATCACCAAACCGGATATCGATACCACTAACCAATACCGAGTTATAACCGTTTTAAAAACGTTAAGTTGGAAGAATTAATTTAGAAAGTGAGGATCAATTACCGATAATTGTGCCAAAGTGTAGTACGTTAATTGATCCTCCAGAATCTATAAACCCCATACCAGCGGAATGAACCGTTGGTGAGTTATATGCAAAATAGAAAAGTTTTGGCATTTTACCAAAATCTAAAATTCGAATTTTATTTAGAGCCAATATTTAGTGCCTCAATTGATCCTCCGCATTTTAAAGGAATGTCAAAAAAATTAAAGGAAAGTAAGTTATCAACAATAAATATTTCAAGGTCAAATTTCGACCCGACAAATTATGGATATTATTAAATTTTATCGATTTAAAAGGCCAATGATAAAGCTCGAAAGGCTATTATATTTATAAAAGTATATTCCTTTTTTATTGATAGTCTTAACTATTTTAAAAGATATTAGAAGAATGTAAGTAAACTTGAATTACAAGTAGCTATCTAGAAAAATTATGTATTATTTAATTTAGCCAAATATATCGGCCTTTATGGCTTTTGTACTTGTCGTTATATTTTAATCTGTCGAAGATTTTTTATGTAATATAATAGTGAAGGAATGGTGAATAATATTATGTACGAATAGTAATATATAAATCAGAAAAAGCAACAACAGTATAATTTGTTTTAATCACGATATATATTTATTATAAGCGTGCGGGCGTTGTGTTCTAATTAATTAATGTTGTTAAAATTTTTTGGCCATAGGAGATATGTTGAATTGATTGAGATTTCATCCAATCGTCAGGTTGTTATTATTTCGACTGGCTTTGAATCCGAAGAGGGATATCTCTTAGTTGGCTTGATCACTAATTTATATGCGCAATAGAGTACATAGGGATTATTAAGTGCAGCGCTGCATCTGTAACGATATATTATCATAACCCCAGTAGTACGATGAAGTCATTGGAAGCGTCAACGTAGACAGGGTTTACGTAGTGCGATTTTAGCTTGATGGGATGCTGAAGGGCACCAATCATAACTTCCTATATTAAAATAAAGTCGTAGTATATTACATAAAAAATAAATATTGTAAAATATGTATGGTAACTACACTTTATAACGGGCCGAGCCCCAGCCTTAAATTTTTTAAGCACCAGACTTGGGTCCAAATACAAATATTTCTGCAGTTACAAAAGCAAGAAACGTCGTACCTCTTATTGTCGAAATATAATATAAATATATTTTTTGTTAGTGAAGACTATTTTACTATATTTTTAAAAGGTATTAATTATATTAATAACTAGGGATTAGTAGAATTAGGGATAGTCGGATCAATTAGATTAACCTTACAAACATGATTTATTTTATTCTATTTATTAAATAAAAAAGTATTTATTACCATATATGTATATCAATTCTATATAATAATGCAATAGAATTACATTAATGATGATTTTGAAAAAATTGCGCTCTATATCCCTTACTTTTATGTCAAAATATCGTTGCGGCAAAAATTTATTAGTCCCGACAATATTTATTTTTAAAAAATGAGCCCGCCCTTGGTTCTTGCTAGTTACCCGGTCTACTTTAGCAATTATTTATTTACTATTTGTTACTAAGATTTACATTATCTGTGTGGGGGGGGGGGGGAGGGGGTGTTATTCTTTACGTAACAAGAAATTACTCTATTTTTTTAAATTTACATAAGACAATAAATTATTTAATATATTTTGATTTATAAGCCAAAATGAAAGGT